AACCCCGTGACCTTGGGCAGCCTCCCCCGCACTCGCTCTCGTGCCGCAGGGCCCGTGGGCCTGACACCCTGGGACTCCCGCCACCGTCCTGACAATAAGCTTCTCAGGTTCCGCGGCCCTTCTGCGCATTTTAACCAGCCAAGGTCACCAGCACCACCCAACGTGGAGATGGCAATCTCTCTGTATGTCGCTGGCATCTAAAAATACCTCGTCCTCGGGCCAGAGGCGCGGGACATTCCTGGCTCCGCACAGCTGGTGCCTCTCCAGCCGGCTCCGTGGGATATTAAATAGGAACTGAGAGAAAAAACACACACCTGAAACCTTCCGAGGTCAAATACATTTTGCAAAGTAACTTTTGTTAGACAAAGTCAGACAGGGTTTCCCGCAGGCCTTGCCAGAGCCTTTCACCCGCCCGTGCACCCTGTCGGTGGCTGCGGGGCAGGGTGAGGGGCCTCAGGAGAGCATCGAATATGTTGGCCTGCAGGTTTGAGCGCAGGGTCATCTCTGGGTCCCCAGCAGGAAGGGCCCCCCGTGCCAACAGGTGCCGGCCCACCCCCGCCCCCCATGCTTTTCCGAGGCCCACAGGATACAGTGCGGGCAAAAGTAGGGTTACAGTTGTTGGTATGGAAAATAATGCAATAATTAATAATAAAGCAAGAATAAACTCTCTGAACCTCCTTTGGCCCCGCCCTGTGCATGTGGTCGTGGATTGGAACTCGGGGAACCGGCCCGGCTTTTCCACGGGCGTCTTATTCCCGCCGTGTTGGAGTAGAGCCGCGACGGCCAGTGTCCGGGCTGGGGGAGCCGGGTCCGGCCGTGGGCCTGGGCCCGAGAGTCACGAGCAGCGGATGGTGTGGGTCATGGTTCCCAGGGAGCCCTCCCCGGGCCTGAGGGGCCCTCTTCTGCGAGGGAAGGTGAACGTGAGCTCAGGGCTGCGTCTCGCTACCTGGCGACCTCCCTAGTCTAGAGCCAGGGGGTCAGAAGCTGGGCTGCTGGAAACGCAGCCTCTGGGACAGGGCACTGTCACCCGCCCCCGACCGAGGGGTAAGCCCTGAAGCCAAGACCAGAGGTAGACCCACAGCCTGAGTCCCGGGAGGCCTGAGTCCTGGGAGGCCTGAACGGGTCCCCTCGACGGGAGGGGGAGCCGGGAGCGACTGCCCTGAGGGAGAATCCTGGCGGGTGGGCCTGGTGCGGGACCGACACCTCCCAGGCCCGGCCCCTCGGGAGCTCACTGACTCTGTCCTGTGTCCCTGCAGGTGCAAGTGTAACCTGCACGCCAACCTGTGCTCCGTGCGCGAGGGCAGCCTGCAGTGCGAGTGCGAGCACAACACCACGGGCCCCGACTGCGGCAGGTGCCGCAAGAACTTCCGCACGCGGTCCTGGCGCATGCACACACATGCACACACATGCGCACACACACATGCACACACACGCACACCTTTGAAGGCTGACTTATGGCACAGCGGCCTTCAGAGGTGACGGCTGGCCCCTCCCGCTCCTCCTCCCAGGAGCCCAGCCCACCTCCTTGCTGCCAGGACCTTCTTTAGTCCCTGCCACTTCCTCTGACTGGCAGCCTCTCCGGCATCGCCTGCCCTGGCGGCCTCCCCTTCCCCTCTTGCACCCATTCTCCATCCAGAAGAACCCCCAGGGCCCCGGCCCACAGGCTGAGGTGCTGCCCAACCATGGCCGCAGGCTGAGACCCTTCTCTCCACAGGTGCCGCTGCGGGCTCCGCTGTTGGCAGTGAGTACACACCTGGGCCCCCCTGGGGCCGGACGGGCCTGCGATGCCCGCTGCTTGCATGTGCTGGGAAGAGCAGGAGAGGAAAGCAGGGAGTCTCCTGCCCCCCTGGGCCCCGGGGCGCCCCTCCCCAACTGTGCATCGCCATCACCTTTCCCCGCTCCCTCCACCCCTTCGCTGGGGCTGCAGCCCCCACTGCTCCTCCCACCAGCTTCTCCTTAGTGCTGCTTTGGAAGCGCCCCATGACCCCGCGAGTCCTGGCCCCTCCCTCTCAGGCCAGGCAAGAGAGGGCTCACCTTCCCCACCAGCAGCAGAACCCCCAGCCTGACCGTGGGCAGGCCTCCCTCTGGGCATCGCGGGGGTTGGGGGTTGGGGGGGAAGCCGGGTCCTAAGACGGCCAGCTCAACTCAGGCCCCAGAGTAGTCAGCCCTGGGGCGGCCTTGCCCCTGGCAGGTGTGCCGGCTGCTCGGAGCACCACCAGCGTCAAGCAGCCAGCGGTGGGAGATCCCAAACCTCAGAAGTGCTTCTGGAGGCGCTGCCTCCCTCCACCTCTCTGGACCCCAGGGGCCGAGAGAGCACCAGAGGAGGCTGGGCCTGGGGGGGCCCAGGTCCACTCATGGGGTCCCATGTTGCTTCTCTGCGTTGCCCCCACCTGCCAGCTCCCACCCTCGCTCGCTTCTCTCTCTCAGCCGCATCGACAGGTCCCAGGAAGACCCTGGCCCCAAGCCCCTGGGGCCCCTGTGGCCATGAGGGCGGCCCGATCACTCCTGCCCCCCATCCACTGGGCACAGAAACCGCCGAGGTGGTGCGGTGTCTGCCTGTACGCGGTGGTCTGTGTGGGTGGGAGGCGGTCGCGTGCACCCACGCACACGTGCACCCACACACACGAGGAACCTTGACTCCACTGGCTGAGCTGCTGCTGACTGGGTGTAAGA